AAAGGATGTCAGGTGCCGTGGCATAGGTTTTTCAATGAAAATCCTCGTCCCCATCTTCGGCGGCACCTTTTTTTGAATCCCCTCCCTTTTCAACGCCGTTTTTCGGGGATTTATGATTTTCTTTGAATTTTTTCGCAATAATATTTCAAAAATAGGTAAATTTTAACACATTTTAAAAATTTCTGGTCGGAGTCCCCCTTTAACAAAAACATTTTGAAATCTTTAAAAAACATCAGAGAAAACACTAAGAATCAATGAAAATTCAAATTTTTTACCGGCAGTTGGCCTAGAAAACTCTCACCTGGCCGCTAGGCCACCGGTTCCCACTTTGACTTTTCGATGACGTTTTTCTCAATGAAGGAATTTTTTTTGAATTTTTTCTTTGTTTTTATGTGAATCTACATGGATTTCTGCACATAATAAAGCAATACAATTTTTCACCGCACACCACCTTTAACTACAAAAATTTAGCACAGAAAGTTTTACACATTTTGCAAGTTGGCCACTTTTTGATTTCTTCTAAAGAAACCAAGATAAATCAATTAACAGTGTGAAGAGCCCCAGGCCCTCCAGGAGGTCGTTTTGAACTGGCAACTTTTTGATAGCTATCTTTTTTTTGAGATATGCGCCTTTAAAGAAGGAAAGGACCAATTCTCGCACTTTTAGAGGTGCGCCCGCTTTAAATACACACAACTCAAAAACTAGATTAGCTAGCCAAAAAGTTTAAACTGTTTAAATATAGAAAATGTTATAAGCTACATTTCTTTAGTTGTCAGTTTTTTGATAGCTATTTTGGCTTCTGAGATATGCGCCTTTAAAGAAGGGGCGCTTGCACTCCCTTTTCGCACCACTAGAGATGCGCACATACTTTAAAGACGCATATTTCAAAAACTAACATACCTAAGCAGAAATTTTGAGAAAAAGGCGTCTTTGGTTTTCGAGATATGCTCCTTTAAAGAAGGCAGGAACGCTTGCACCATTCTCGCACCGCTAGAAGTGCGCACTAACTTTAAAGGCGCATATCCTATAAACTGAAATAGCTAGCTTCAAGGTTAAAACTGTTAAAATATGAGATATTTTATGAGCTACATGTTTTAGTTGACGACTTTTTGTTAACTATTCTCGTTTTTGAGATATGCGCCTTTAAGCGCGCATATCTTAAAAACGGACCTTTAAGAAGAAGGCATAAAGAGAGTGTGCATTTTTACGGAATGGTGTTCACACCTTATACATTGGCTACCGTATAATTTTACTATGGCTACCGCATCCCCAATATGACTGCGTAGCTCAACTTTTTCAACTGTTCAAGTCCCAAGAACATCTGTGCTCCTCCAAACACCTATCATAATCTTTTTTGTGTATTATCAATATCAATATATTCTGTGAAAAGGTGTGATATGATATTGTGACACCATGTCTCTAGGAACAACTGTTATGACAACAGCCCGAAAGGCGGCAAAAAGAACAAAGAGGAATTTGGGGACGGAGGCGGAGGCCGATAATGAAATACGACTTTGGGGAGAATTGGAAGAAGATGAAGATGAGACAATGAGCGGGACAACTGACCAATCATTTGGGGAGAGGCGGAGGGGAGGAACGGGGGTTACTGTAGAATTTTGAGAGAATTTTCTGGGGGAGTTCAGGAATTTGGTATAGGGATTAAAAAAAAATTTTTTACAGTTTGGAATTTTCAAAATTTTGAAATTTCAAAGTGAAATTCTGAATTTGAAATCTTTTTTTCTAGTTTTCCATTGTCGGAGATTCCAGAAATTTACGAACTTTCGGGATTTAGGAAAGTTTCCAGAGTTTCACTCAAAAATTCCAATAAATGACAATTTTTTAAATTCCTGAAAATTCTAAATTTCTACAGTAATCCCTAATAAAATTTAGGAGTTAAATTTTTTTTCTGGTTTTCCATTATGAAAAATTTTTGGATTTTTTAGAACTCCGAAAATTGCAGATTTCCTGAAAGTCAGGAAGTTCAAAACTTGCTACAGTAACCCATTATCAGAAGTTCCAGAAATTTAAAAAGAATCGCAGAAGGCCTACATTTTCCGAAATTTCCAATTACCCCAGAAAATATAAAAAATGCAGAAATTTGAATTTTTGGAATTTTGACCGTTTTTGAGAGTTTTGAACTTTTCAAAGGATTACTGTAAAAAAATTTTTGGGAATTCAGGGAAAATCGGAAATTCCAAATTACAGTAGTTTCGAATTTCAGATATTCTGAATTTCCTGGAATTTCTGAAATTTTGAATTCCTGAATTTTCGAATTTTCGAATTTCCTGGAATTCCTGAATTTTCGAATTTCTGAATATCAGGAATTCAGGCATTCTGAAATTCAGAAGTTCAAAACTTTCGAAATTCTGGAAACCTTTAAATTCAAGAAAAGTCTAAAATCAAAAATTCTAGAATATTCATAAATTCAGAAGTTCAAAATTTCAGAATTTCGACAATTCCAAAAATTCCAGAATTCTTGAAATTTTTCAATTAAAAAAATTGATTTTTTCAAATTTCACAATTTTCATATTCCAAGAAGTCCTAAAACCTTTCCAAATGAAAATGTTCCAATTTTCAAAAAATCTAAATGTTGTTTTCCAGGCACAAAAGGAGGCGAATCAAAACGAACCCGTCAAACCTACTCAAGGAGTCAAACCCTGGAATTAGAAAAAGAATTCCATTATCACAAATATTTGACCCGAAAGCGGCGACAGGAAATTTCAGAGACCCTTCATTTGACTGAAAGACAGGTAATTTTTTTGTTTTTTTCTTAGTTTTTCCCGATTTCCGGCCGTTTTTTATTCAAATTTCTTTTAAAAATCCGAAAAAACCCCGGCGAGAGAGTGTGTAGATTCGAGAGACGCAGCGCGCTGCAAGTACACTCTGTCGCAGAATTGCAGGGAAAAGCCGCGGGAAGTTGAAATTTCAAAATACAGCAGCTTGCTTTTCAATGAATTTAGGGATTTTTATACGGTTTTAGGGCTTTTTTACATCAAAAACTTGAATTTTTCATAAAATTTTTCACATTTTCAGGTGAAAATTTGGTTTCAAAACCGTCGAATGAAGCATAAAAAGGAGGCGAAGGGCGAGGGCGGAAGCAATGAATCCGATGAGGAATCGAATCAAGACGAGCAAAATGACCAGCATTCTTCTTGATTTTTTTTCGAATTTCGGCATTTTTTTCTTCCTAAAAATACCTCGTTTCCGGTCACTTTTTCCACTAAAAACTTTCCATTTTTCGCATTTTTTATCGGTGATTCTCCCTATTTTACCCCAAATTTTCCT